AATTCCCCCCACGCCCCCCCGGTTCCCACAACCAACCCCAAGAATTTCCCCGGAAAGCCACTTTTTTGCAACAGCCGGGGGGGTTCCCCGGTTTTTCCCTGTTGGGCCTCCCCTTCCTTGGTGCCCCAATTTGCCCCCCCCCCTTGGGCCTCCTTCCCTTTTTTCCCCCCCCCTCCGGCCCCCCCCCCCGCCGTTCCCCCCTTTTCCCCCGTTGCAAAATCCCCCCCCCCCCCCCCCATAGGCCATGGGGGGCCAGCCCCACCCGATAAACCCTGGGTCCCCCCCCCCCAAGACCAAATTACGGAAGGGGGGGGGCGGTGACTTTCCCTTTGGATATGGGGGGGGGGGGGGGAGCCCCTGATTCTTACCCTAGCCCTCCTTTTTCCCCGGGGGCCCCCCCCCCCCCCCCGAAGCGATAAAGGTTGTGAACCCCGCCAGCCGAAGCTTAGGCCAGAGCCGAGGACCTCGACAAAATGATCGAGAAAAGGGTGCACACCAGCCAGCCGCAGCAAGCGCGTCCACTCACCAAGAGTGCGCTTCTGCCGCCGCTACCCCTCGGTCCATGTCCGGCAGCCGGGGTCCCTCTAACCGGGGTGGCCGTGTGCTTGAAGACGATGCCAGGGTCGGTGCAGGCGGTGCTCAGGTAAAACGCCATGGTCACCAGGGCTAAGCCTCCGCCGATGGCGACGATGATGGTCCGGAGCATGTCCCCACCGTCGTCTGGCGCTCCGAAAATAATCAGACAACCCCACCCGACGGTGCCTGACGTTGTCAACCCACCAGTTGGAGGTAGGTTAAAAAGGGTAGATTAACATGGAAGGCCACGCTCTGATGTACTACAGTGAGAGACGCATTGAACAGACTGATTTTGACGCATCGTGGATTGGTCCCTCTTCCTGTTCGTGTGCGAGTACCGCTCCACCTATCATAGGCTTCAGCTTTTACGCCTTTAGGTGTGAAGCATGCTTTCGGGACGCAGAACCCGCGGTCTTGCAGGAGGAAGGCCACACAGAACGTGCTCGTCTTGGCGATGCTTGATGCATACACACAAGAGGATAAATAATTGAACACGCGTACGGAACCAGAAAACAAACGACATCGCAACGCGAGTAGCACCGGCACCCTGACCCCGGCGGGCTACGGGAAGGATGAAAAACTTCATTCTGCCCTGTTTGGAGTATCTTCCTCCACCGCCGTTACGGTGTATCCGTGTCCGTAGAATCGGGCAGACCCGGTTTAACCGCCAAAACAAATGGCGGGCCAACCTCAATTCCGAGGGCACTACCACCGCTAGAGCTCGACACCGCCAAATCAACCCAAGACACCGGAACGTCGTTGCTCCCTTGGTTTGGTGCGAGACATGCAAGAGAAAAAAAAAAAAAACATATTGTATCCCACATGGAAAAAAAAAGTACTACTTGCTTCAGTGCACGCACATACATCCACACTTACCAGCCGGAATCGAGACGAATGTCCACGCGCCCACTCGCCAATCGGGCCCCACCATGCCCTGAAGAGGAAACCGGCTGCGGGGACGCCTGTCTCAATAAGGCACCCACCACGCAGCAGCCAATGACGGTAATACTGTGTGCGAATTTTACTTTGCAGTATGTAAGTGTGTGTAATTTGGGTTTCCACCGAAGAGAAACTGCGGCTGGTGAAACACCGTTCATGGTGTCCTGCTGCCGCAAGCCTGCCAATAGTCTTGCGGCCTGCAGTCGATTCTCTCTCTTTCGTTTTGTCTTATCTCAAACTAGCTACGTAGCCGGCTGATCGCGGAAAAAAAAGAAAAAACACGAACACGCCAAATTAGTCCGCGGCCTCTCCCGCCAGGAGGACCGCGGTAAAGGTTGGACGAAGCGGGTTGGACGACAGGCAGGGCCTAGTCCCAGGATTCATGAGACTACACTTTCATACGGAGAAGCCACAGCACAACAACTCATCATGCATTCGTTCCTGCGGTAACCTCTCTGGCTACAAGTATCCTACTAGTAATGACTACAAAATAATACAGATGTTGTCTTGTCTGGCTTATAGTCACTCTATCGGGCCAGGTGTCACTTCTGCTATTACAGTACCACAAGGTACAGCCGTGGTCTACAGGCTTTTTCATTCTCTCCCTGGACCTCTCTCCAATACTACAGAACGCGCCACCACTGACGGGATGGCAGACAACGAATTGGAATGTTGACTGATTTTGAAAAACAACCCCAAGAGCACCAGAAAATGCACACGAGACACACGACACCAGTCGGAAGGCTTCGGGAAAAACAGAAATCGTTGATTCTCCCCAAGGGCGGCAGTAGATGCTGCTGCTAACATACATATCATACAGTCTACCTGCACATGCCTCCTTTGAGGAGGTCAAGACAAAAATTCACAGCATTCTCAATTCAAGTCAAATGGGCCAGAACAGGAGGCGCTCAAACAAGGTCGGTTTTGCATTCTACTAATATCATTAGAGGACACCCTATAGCAGTGGTGTGTGTGTGTTGGCCTTCTCAAAGCTGTTTCCTAGGTGGTGATACCGAGGGTCGTAGGAGCGGCCTACAGCAGTCTCCGCAACGCAAATGAGACCGACACCCAGTGTCTTGTGCTCGCCGCCGCTGACCCCCATCCCCTGAGCTGCGGGTTTCCTGCAGTAGCTGACGCTGCTATGCATAGATACTGCTGACGACCAGCCGTTCAAGGGGTTTACGGTTCGTGGCGGTAAGCACGGCTGTGGCAAATGTTGGGTTCCGGCGGACATTACGGACTGCTTTCAGAGACTGCCTCAGCCTTCGATATTTCAGCTCTAGTAGCAAACCTGAACGTGGCAGCAAACGCGACGCCTCTTCATAACGTCCTCACTGATTACAGGAGAATGCATAAGATCTAAACGGCGGGAAGGTTGCCCTCTTTTTGTATTACATTACTAAGAATAAGAATAGAGCCAGCGTCAGAAGGAGGTTGACTTCCATCGTCTTATTTTCTTATTGTGGCCGAGGCTCGTTTCGAATCTTGTCTATTGGGTACCCCATAGGCGATTATATAGGTTTTAGTGAGACTAAAGAGGTTGTATTATAGTGTAGGTTTCTTGACTGAGCACCTGTTGTTCTGGCCAAGTTCTTAAAGTTCTTAGAATTTGGATTTATTGACGCTCTAAGTTCTTGATAACTGAAGTCTTACAGCAGTGGCGCGTTCACTGTATACGCATCATTCTGAGGATCTATCCTTTGGGGAAGTTGTTGCTAACTATGTTTGATTTATCGAGGTGCTTCCTCTCTCCACGTCGCCGTCTCCAACCACGCCCATTGGTTGTGTGTAGACTACTTTTTTTTTTTTTTCTTAATGTGACACAACGAATCCATCTCTATCATAGAAAAGAGTCTTGAGACAGATTAGCAATGAATTCATAAATAGCGTCAGAAAGTACCTGTATGTCTACGATTTCCAAGACAGCATATAGGGACATCTCCCCTGTGGGGAACAGGCTCAACAAGACAAGTTTGGTAGCTGTCTTGTGTGTCTCATATATGTTATGTTGGGAACATTTTGTATTAATGCGGACAAACAATAACAGAACTCTTTTCTATGATAGAGATGGATTCGTTGTGTCATTTTAAGAAAAATAAAAAATAACAGAACACCTCCTTGTTTTGATTGGATCGGTGGGACGGTGCTACAAGAAGCTGTTTTATATAGGCGATATAATAGTGGTACTGCTGTACGCACAGAAACAGCTAGACCACGCAGGCATTGCAAATTAATCATGCTCCTGAAACATACATATAACCGGCAAAGTGCCGTGTGTGTATACTAGCACATCACGGGGGGCGGATAGATCCGTACACAGCAGCATATTGTGCACTATCGTTGTATACATAGTCGGGTAGACTGGCTGGTAGACAATCGGGAGGTATGCAAACATAGAGTTGAAGTGGTGCCGCCGATGTTCTTTCCTGATAAGCTCACCCCCAAAGAAGCCAATGCTTGCCCAGCCGCTTGACACCGCCATAGCAACAACAATGAAAGCGCTCATTATCGTCCATCACTCCACGCAGTGCCCGACACGCTCCAGCCGGCCATGTGAACAGAAACCCGCGGCAAGCACCACGGCAAGGCTTTAGGGGCATCCGCAGATATGGCGATGTCTTGGCAGGGGGGCAGGCTGCCCCAGCTCTCCGCATTTCTCCAGCCTACTATAATAGCACACAGCAGACAGCTACACACAGGCAGGCCATTACACGGCGCACCGCCCTGCGACACACCCACACACCAGGTAGCGCCACACATCGCACTCTCTTGAACTGGCTGCAGTCCATCGTCGGATACACGTCTTGCATTTGCTCCCGAAGCATATATACCACGCCCCCCCCCCTGGACCGATATTCAAAGCCTGCCAAATACTCTTGTCTGTCTGCAGCAGCAGCAACAACGAGCGACGACGCTGAAACTAATGTCAGCGTTGGAACCGTCTTGTCGAGAGCATTCCGAAAGGTGTCGCGGTATCCTCTTCGTCGTGGAGCTATCGAGCTTTGGAAAACGGTCCATACGGGATGTGGTATCTCACGCATCCTACCGCACGCACTGGGGGGTATAGAAGCCGAAATCAAACCCTTATGTTAGACTCGAAATCAAACCCTTGTCTATACTAAATAAATAGTCTATTGGTTTGATTTCGGCTTCTATAGGGGGGGGGCAACTGGAGGCTAAATAGTGTTGGGAGTACAGCAGTAGACTGTACAACAAATATTCCAGTCTGCTGATGTGCCGCGAACGCGCCAAGAGGAACTTAGGAGTTAGAAATCCATTGTGACGTACATGGTGCTGCGCGCAAAATTAGGGTGTAACAACCTCAAGAGAGGAGGGATGTGGGAATGGCCGAATGGCCGAGAGGTATGCTAGGTATGAGTGACGACAGGAAATATTGACCCCCCCCCCCCCGACGATCACGGCATGGCTATGATACACTTTCTTTCGTGCCCCCTGAGATGCGAGGATCACGCACGACACACCACGGCTCAGACCTTTCGTACCCACAACAAAGATGACTTCCTAATGATTCCACACGATCCATCTCACTCATCTCGTGAATCAAGAGTACAATGTGAATCAAGAGTACAATGTGCGACTCGTAAGGACCTCGTAGAGACTAGTACTGACAAGACAGAAGAAGGTACTGAGTAGAGGGAACGGAACTGTTTTGCAATGTAAAGAAGGACCTGTAAGTCTCTCAGGAATGAACACACAACTCACTTCCCGCTCTAATATTTGGCGTCGTCGTCGGCAGGCTCAAAAGAGCAATATAAGAATGGTACGATGACGACAATAGGTTGTTCTTGTTAACTCCAAGGTAAAAAAACATTACGGTCTCTGCTCTTGCCGCCGAACATCCGCCCCCCGTCCAACTGGCGCGGACGCCTTCCGCGCTAAATGCCAACAAACCCAAAAGGGCACTACACATACGAAGAAAATACACAGAATGCACTGGCAATGAAGAGAGAACAGAAAATTGTCCGCACAACAATCAGCGCAAACGAACAAACGTTACAATGGAACAAACCGAAAGCGAACAAATGGTAGCGACAAGGGGCCCAAGACATTCAGGCGGCGAACTGTTGGGAAGGAGATAAACGAATAGATTCCATCGCTTCTGTTCAGCGCGCAATGAAACGACATATGTATGCATACAACAACAAATATCGCTCAGCTGTGGAAGACTTGTCAAAAATAAAGAGCAACAAAAATACGGAAAGTAGCGCCGTTGTGAAGGTTGTGGATTGTGGATCTTGTCTACAGTACATGGAAAAAAAAAACTTAGCACAAGCCCGCACCCGCAGCACGTCGACTAAATAAAATCAAACACGATCGACCACCACCAGGGCGCCCTGCTGACCGCGCGTCACCCTCATCTCCTCGTCGAGGTAAATGATGTCTAAATAGCCTTTTGGACTGCGCTTCATCTCGTAGGACAGTTCCCCACGAGGGCCCAGGCCGTCCGCGGGCCCCTGAAAACCGAACACCACCTGAGAGCGACGAAAACAAACACATTATACATTGTAATGAAGTTTCAATCCCTTTCACTGGAGTTTCTGTGCGGGTTCTCCTCGTTCTTTCGTCGCATGATGTTCCAAAGTTGAATACCACACGTCTTGTGGTCGATATCCATAGCTATGTAAATACCGTAAGAGGCGGAGAGATGGCACCCCCCCCAGACCGATTTTCAAAGCTGGATTGCTTCACAACCAGGCTTGTGCCAACAACAAAAATACAGGTTTTGGAAACATCTCGTGGAGGCTTTCCGTAGACTTTCGGCCTCTTTCCGCACCCACTTGGTTGTGTTGGCTTTGAAAGTCGGTCTTGGGGGGGTGCCATCTCCCCGCCTCTCACGGTACGCTTGGAAACCGACACCTCCGGGGCAAGTAAGTTCTACTCCCGTAAACCGAACGCCACGCTCCTCCTCGTGTGGCAGACTACCTTGTGATAGTTTTACCTCTTCCGGAGTTGAAACCTCAGCGCGCCTGAGTTGCAGCTCCTCAGTGTACCGAAAATTGTCCGTCCACGCGTCGCGGTCAAACAGAACACGGCTGTTGCTGCTGCATGAGACCAAAATAGACGCAAACCCTCGAAATAGGAACAACAAACTTGGTATCCACAAGAGATTTTACCTTGAGCATCAACCTTGCGGCTTTCTCCTTCAGGGTGGACAGCGGCCCTTTGTCTTTGGTGCCCTCGACATCCCGCACGCCGATGACCTTACGCCAGGCGTCGAGGTCTTGCCCCTCGTCTGGTTCAATGGAGCCCTTCGTGAACCGCACCAAGACGCGTTCCGGCATGGAAGGGTCTTCCCAGCAGGTCCCTGAGATCTCCACGCGTCCCCTGAGCCCGCTCCCGTCGCGGGCCACCCAGCGAGTCGAGATCACGTAATTGGATTCGTACGCCGGGTCAGCGTTTTCGGGGCGGTCCCCAATGGTATTCTTGATGGCCACTATCAGGACGGGGAGGTTCACGGGCTCAAAGATGTTGAACACAAGCCGCCCTAGGGTGCACTCCACTCCGTCTTTGGTGCGAGTCGTGCCCTTGAAGTCCTCCCCTGGATGGAGTGCACGGGTAGCAGCAACGTGTGGGTTCTTGGGTTGAAGTTCATGGTCTCGGCAACAATGGCGTCTAACAGGCAGCTGCTTTTCCGACGGCAACGCGTAGACGCTCAGACGGGAGTGCAAGGATTGTTCGTGTGTGCAGGAGCGAATGAGGATATTCCAACGGGACTGCAGGAAGTGGCTACGCAGATAGGAGTTGATAGTCCCCTGGATTAGGTTTTATGGTTGGTCCACGGGGCTTGGCTCTGTGGGAGTGCTTGCTGCTTTGCGGCACTCTCTCTCCCGCCGCGTCTTGATCTCGTCTGCTGTCCTTTATACAAGTGATGCAAGCATCTTCGACACACATACATGGGTATACTAACACTCTAGAGTGTATCCCTCGAGGGAACCCGTGCTGGAGATGAGTGGCGCCGATGTTGCAGCAGAGGCTGCCGACGTCACCACAAGTAAGCAGTGCAGGAGCTGACGGAACTGCTGCGAGCCGCCATAGGAAAGGGAGAGAAGGAGGGGGAGTCCGGCGGCGCCACGGTGGGCGCTGTCGATACGGGCGCTACGTCTGCCCGCGGTCTGCTGGGAGAGGGGCCGCACAACAACGGAATCATGCCGCCCGCACAGCACGAGGGGAGTAGCACTAGACCGGGAGCCAGCCTGGTAGTGCCAAGGATCCCTGCTGGAGTGGACCCGGACATGGGACCGGACCGGGCAGCGGGGACGTCAGGGGGTCATCATCCCAAGAGAAGCCTGTTGCGGTGGGCGCTTGCATAGACTCGCGGCTGCAGAAGAGATCATCAGCAGTAGGCCGGTTGCGGCAGGCGAACCGGTGTGGGCGTTTCAGGCCCCTTCTAAAGGTGGGTTTGGCAGATCTCAGAACACCGAATATCTCTACAAGATAGGCAGCGCTGGTAGAGGTGCAGCCGCCGCTGGAGGCGCTGGCCGAAGAGTCAGAGCAACGTGCTCATCACGTCGAGAAGAGCTGCGCGGCGCTGGAGGGGGTGCCGCAGACGGCACACCAAGTGCGCCTGTTGACCGCGGGAAAGTGCTTGCTTGCGTGTGGAGAGCTGAGGCAGCATGCATCCCCACGACGCCGTCGATGCGCCATCAAAAGAACCAGGGGAAGCTACTCGTGGGGCCATGGGAAGAAAGACACGGTGGGGTGAGGCAGTAGATAGTGTTAGTGCAACAAGCGGGGGCATCGGTTAGTATCGTGCGGAACCCCGTAGGCTGTCCTGGCGATCATGGTGGAATGCGATGACGAGGAGCTGGAGGCGGCACGTGAGGCCTTGTACGAAGAGGCGGGGAAAAGACACTAAAGCCGCGCGGGTCACCGCGCGCGCACCGCGCGCGCTCCATCTACACACAGCAGCAGCAGCAGGAGGTGGTGAAGGTGGCACCATTGCGGGAGCGTGAGAGGGTGGAGTCACAGAAAACGACCGAAAGGCCGTGTGCCCATAGCCGCGACGGAAGGGGGCGTGGAGGGCAACAACCACGGCCGAAAGGCCGTGTGCCCATAGCCGCGACGGAAGGGGCGCGGGGGGGGGAATATTCAGAGAATACGGCGAGATGGCCGTGTGCCCACAGCCGCGACGGGAGGGGCGCGAGAGGGCAACAATCAACGCAGCCCCATGGCGCGTCGGACGGGGCGTGAGACCGGTCTTTATGGAGACGCTTTCTTTGGGAATTATCTTGATCTTGGGCCAAGATAGTTCAGTTTCACGATTTATGGGGCACAAATCTTCGAAAAAAATCTTGGCAAAGATTTGTTCGGCGGCCAAAAGTTGCCCTTTCGAACAAATCTTGCCCCATCGACCTTGCTGGATATATCTTGGCGCGGCGAGATTTATCTTGTGGGTGCGGAGAGATTACCACAGGTCAGTCAACCTTATCGTCCATAACGCTATGAAATCTGCACGGGGCAGATTCGCAAGGGCCTCGCACCGTGTCGACGCCACGGGCGCCGACAACGGAGAAGAAAGATCACGGCCCGCGAAAAAAATACATTTTTGCTCTGGGTTGGGCCGCGTGCGTCATCAACCAAGAGCACACAACTTCCAACTTGCGAACGACAGCACCCGTTCACATATCTCACTCCGTAGTTGACGCATCGAGGCCAAACCTTCGATACTGCAACCTCCACTAACCATTCTCTCTCGGACGCAACTGAGGTGGTTGTGGGGTGCTTCTACCCAGAGATAAAAGCATCGCTGGTGACACGAACTGAAAATGGTGGTTGAACGCATCCTACATTTTGTGAGGAATGGAAAACCATCTTCTCCGGGGAGAAGGGACAATCATATGGCGTGGTGTGTACTTCGATGGATAGTAGTCACGACGCCATCTGTTCCCATGGCCGGCAGCGGGATCAATGCTCGCAAGGTTAAGGCAGTCCAAGCCAAAACACAAACACGCTAATAGACGCAAGCAGTGCCGAGATAGCTTGACCAGCGTTGTCTAAGCACGCAAGTGCCGGGATGGCTTGGCCAGCGGTGTCTAAGCAACGTGCTGTGCGTACCCTGCACGCGACACGACGGCGACCATCTCTCGCGGCGGTTCGAGCGCCATACAGTTTCCGCCTGGCCAACGAAAAACCGATTTCCTCGTTGCCGACGTTGTGGTGTGCGCAGGCCTATGGCCATTCGCCATGCTTATTGATGGTACGAGCGAGCGTATATCACGACCTCTACGTAAGTCCATGTTGGAAAATGTTCTCACCTACGGAAGCCCACTCTCCGCTGTGCAGTGGCCATGCCTTAGCAGGGGAGGATGTGGGGTTGAAATTGGCCAGCACCTGATGGAAAAATGGAGCACCGTTCATCGTCACCGTGGCCAAGAATACGCTTTTCGGGCCATGGCCACACGAAGAGATGGCGGAAGTCACGTAAAAAAACATTGTTTTCGGGGTTTTGGTCGAATCGATCAGCGCCTCATTGCGTACAAAGGGATGTTTTCTGTTCCAGGGACGATTGATGCGGTAATGCCCCATCCTGTGGCAACAAAGTGCCACAGACATAAAACGCAGCGTACGCCCACAGACTTCGGTCAGTGTCCTGTAAGAGAAGATCACGAAGGGATTGGCAGTGCGCTGCTGTGTTGTTTGTCGCGGTCTTGCTGTTGCGCTGTCACTGCTGAAAAACACGCAACATGTAGATCCTGGCGCTGAATCAATGCCGCCCGGACACGAGATAGACACAAGAGGCGTCCGAAACTGAGATGCATGAAACAAACTGAGTTGACGAACACCAAACGTACTGGAGCCTTTCTCTCGGTTGTATTAATAGTAGCAAAAAAGCGTTCCGGGCACTCGAGTCACTCCTCTTCTGCGCAAGACGTTGTCGACGTTGGGACATGTAACCGCCGGCATGAGCTGATGTTAGCAATCGATGTCTGTCGCTATTGCATTTCGTTAGATCACAGTAGTGCGTACCGCTATCACTTAACAGAATAAGGAACATTTGACGAAGATGCCTGATATTCCAGTCTATCCACAGCAACCCACCTTCACCGGGCCACCATTGCAAGTAACCCAGACGCGTGCAAGTACGCGACATTGCAGGTGACTCACACATGCGTGCATGAATATGACGAACGCGTATTCGTCGCATGCGCTCCAAAGCCGAAATTGCAAGTACCGGAATTGTGCGTGTTATGGCACCGGGGTGCGATCGTTTGTTAAATCATTCCTATCTTGGTTTTTCATCGCACCCCGGTACCATATCACCAATGGGTGGCATAACACCGATCCCCGTGCGGAAATGCAATTAAATAATTTCGTTCTGGATTTCCAACGCACCCCCGGTGGGATGACACCGATGGCTGCGATACGGAAGAAATTGCAGTAGCCATTTTACGGTGCTGAGTAAACGCACCCCGGTGCGACACACCGATAGGTACAATACTCAAGAAACGAACACAGGCGTCTCCTGGTACGAGTACCGCAATTATGCGTGTTACGGTACTTAAAAGAAGCGGCTGATGCGAGTTTGATGGGGTAGCATATGCCAAACACAACAGACGCCGTGGTTCGCTGCTGGGAAAGGTATAGAGTAAGGTATCGTTTTTCTTACAACCTCTTTGTAAATCGCAAGCCCCTCATTTGTTGGCTGGTGCTCCATCTGTCTTTGTCTGCCTCAAGGGGCATGACCGGTACAATTGTAGTAGTACCGTTTACGAACTCCTTCTTGTTCGGTTGATTGGAGGTGCGGGATGTGTTCTGTGTGCTTACAGTAGTTGAGTGAGTGAGTGCATTCGATGTACGGATTACCGTAGAAGGAAACATGTATCATTTCTACTGATCGACGGTGCGATATACACACATGAAGGGAATGGCGCCCCAGCGGTTCGCTACATACAGTTTGAGACGTGGCCCGGAGGGTTCCGGTACCTTGCGCAAGCACGCAAATTTACGTCCTACAAGCAGGTTTTATCGTTGATATCGCACCGGGTGCGTTAACACCGATACCGGTGCGGAAATGCAATTAAATCAAAAGACGTGTTCGATATTTTTGCGCACCCCCGTGCCACAACACCGATGGGTGCGAAATCAACGATGGGTGCCATAACACGCACAAATACGGTACAAAAGTGCATGAAGTTGTTGCAGCTGTATTCTGCTCTATGTCGTACATCAGTGCAAGTACTCACGAATGCTTGTATGTGTTGCGTTACATGCGTTAGTGGCAATCAAAAGACTCGGCCTACCCTCCGTCCAGCACAGCCGTCCAGCGGTACAACAGCAGTGATCCGTCCGCTGCGCTGCACAGGTTACGCAGATTCGGACGCAGACTTGAGTTCTTGCCATCAGCCTCTGACTATGTTGTACTTCGAAGTACCTGGTACGGGTAGACTATCGCATAAAAGATTGCACGACCGAGGCGTGCGCTGCTCTCATGTGCAGCAGGAGTCTTATCATGAAAATACATCTGGTGTTGTTGGCTCCAGGGACATATATATTTCTCCGCAACATCACCTCGTTCGAGAATCATCCCAGACTCATGTCAGCATCCACACGCCAACATCCTCAACATTGTTGGTGCAGAAACATTTCCAGCCTCGGGTGATAGCTACTCCGGAGTACGATCAAATTGAGTGAGATAATAGGTGAATCTACTGTACCCCAGTATCCACCGCGGTAGATACTGAGCGCTTCTTCATACGACCCAACGAATCCATCTTTATCTAAGGAAAGAGTCTAAGATAGACTAGCAATGAATCCATAGCGTCAGAGGAAGGCTACCTGTATTTCCACGATTTCCCGAGCAGCACACAGCGACATCTCCCCTGTGGGTAACAGGCTCAACAAGACAGTTTGGTAGCCGTCTTGTGTATCTCTCTGCATGTTATGCTGGAAAGGTGTAGAAGGAAAATGTTGGTATGTTGGTTTGTCGGGTGTGCTAAATTTGTGTTGTTGTACATAACACCGTTTATGGAAGAAGCAAAAACACCCACATTGCTAATCTGTCTCAGACTCTTTTCTACAGATCGAGATGGATTCGTTGTGTCATATTAAGAAAAATAAAAAAAAACACCCACACATACACTTACGATACAACACACGTACGTACGTATTGCACAAATTGCATAAGGTACAACATTTTACTCCCTGCTTCCGCACGTTGATTTTTCTATCTTTTCCAATCTAGGGTTACCTCGCATAGCGTGCAGAGAGGCGAGCGGAGTGGCCTAGACTATCCGTCGTTGACCTTTATTGGCTTGCGGACCTGGACCCTTCGAGTCCATTTTATTTTCGTATACCTTATTTTTGGGTGTAAGTTAGCCTGTGACCACGGGAATCGACCGTGTCAAGGGTTAGGCTAGTACGGACAGAAGAAGGTACTGAGCAGAGAGAACAGAACGGTTTTTCATGTGAAGACAAAACACCAACAACACAACATCTATGCATGCCATGGAGTACCGCTGTAATGTACAGTGTAGCATCCATGGACGCACAACAAACAAGAGCGTGTGTTGTTTTTCATTCCAATAAACTGCCGAACGGCAAAAAAGACACGTCGGATACACGAACGCGTAAGCACAGAAGTCACCCCCCATACGCACCTCTACCGCAGCCCCGACACCCTCGGCAAGAGTAGACCCTCCGCTCTCCGCCAACGCACTCCTGAGGTTACTCTTGGCGGCCTCGGCAGAACGGACATCATCCGACGTGGCAGATGAATACAGTGCAACACCGGCCCGGCTGCTGGTGGCGCATCGCGGAACGACTGAGAAGAAACCGTCACCGCCAGGTAGGAGAAGCAGAGCAGTCGTGACGACTACGTGGAGGCTACCAGTAGCACCCATGACCGAACGTGGAGCGGGCGTGCGTCTATCTGTTGGCCCCGCTGTCGGCGTGTCAGCTGCTGGAAAGGTCGAAGGGGCCCACGCGCGCGATTGGGTGCGCGCGTTGTATTGTACAGTCCCGTCTTTGTCGTGGGGACCAGCGTTTGTCCGCATGTCCGCATATACATACGCGTCGGTAGTCTAGACACAAGACCACTCACGCTTGCTCGTTGCACTACAGTGCATGTACTGTTGTAATGTAGAATACGTAGATACTTGTACCGGCGATGGTTTGTGTGTCGACCGATTCGTGTGGTTTGTTGTCCGTCCGTCCATCCACTCGCAATATAGTATAGCCTACAGCATCATCTTCACGTGGTCTTTGATAAAGCACACATGATCCACAGCAGTATCTTTGGTTTGAGGTAACAACTCGTATGCATCGTCGACATCGCGCAGAAGTCAACGCAACCCTTGAGGACTATCTCGGGTGGGTAGCCCTCCTCTCCCTTTCATGTTACAATTGCGCACTCTCTCTTCGTCTCCACGCCCAATCAACCTCTTTCTGGTGGCGGCTGTCTCTGATCTCTGATCACACTGATTATTGTCGTTGAGCATCAACGACGCGCACCTTGCCCATGGAGAAAAAGAAAACGCCCCCGCGGGATGTCCGTTCACATGATGTACAGTAGTTACATTGCGTGTGTGTGTGGCTCTCTCCTTCCTCGTATTGTTATCCTCAATAGGCTGAAGAGTGTCTTGTTTCATTTGTGCCTTGCTGGATCAAAACTACTGCTGGTGCTGTCATCGTGGTGTTCTTGGTTCATGATTTCCTGAATACTTGTTGTACAGAGTAGGAAAAACAAACGCGAACACAGAAAGACTACCCATTCGAGATACAACCACAGTCGAACGGAATGTGTTGGAGTCTTTGCAGTGAATGGAGGGAAACCGGCTGAATACTTGTAAAACGTGTGGAGGGATTTGAGTGGACAGGGGTGGTTGTGTCAGCGATATTCGGTTGAAACAACCATAGGAAAAGGCGGAGAACTCCCGATTGAAGTGCAGGGAAAGGGGCTTTAGCACCCTCTCCTTGAGGGATGAATCTCACCCCCGCATCAGCTCAGCCCTATCTTATCGCAGGGTACTACCTGCTGTCCCACAATGGATAACACACAATCAAGTGGTGAGCCTATCACCAGGGATCTTTCAGATCGTACGACGCGTGTGGCACAAAGAAACGAGAATCATCACTTACTTGACGATGGTCGAAGGATCCTCACTCTCTGAATAAAGACTGTGCCAGCCATTGGCGCGTGCTACAGCAACGAAACACAAAGGTCTTCACCATTTAGTTACGCGACACCATCTCTCGAAAAAAACACACACCCAACTCTTGGACGAGATCGACGAGAAGAATCTTAAATTCATGTGCTGCAATCCTTTGTTCTACAGTAATGTTTTTTTTTGTCTTGGGGGGCATTTTGATATCGCGTGTTACAGGGTTTTCATGTGTAGGCGGAACATAGAATATAATTATTCTTTCTCGAAGGTGCAGGGAGATGCAACTCCCCGCGGAAGGATAAAACACGGAATAGGATCATAGTAACCCCTGCTTGAGCAGAGGATCCGTCTCCCCCCTGTTCAGTCCTCTACCGTATCCAAGGCAACAGCCGTTGCTGCTGGTGTTCCACACGAGTAAATAACAAGTAGGTTCTTCTTCATGGGTCTCCCAGATTGCACCACACGTGCGTACCCTCACCGTTGCCGTCGTCGGGGACCGTGTTTTTCATCCGTTCTTGGCCTCACACCTTCCGGTCATCGGGCCGCAGGTGTTGGCTTGAGTGGGCTAGTCCGACTTCCCCGACTTCGGTCTTCGGTGGCTTGCCCCCTCTCCGGCTAACTTCGTCGATATCCGTCGGCACGGTCCGCATCTCCCGCCGTCAGGCCTTTCGTCTTGATCTGGCGTCTGGAATATCGCTCCCTGATCGTCTAAGAAGCTCGGCGTTTCGTCTCCTTCGAGAAGAGGTAATCGGCCTCCCATCGTTTGGTCTGACTCACTGCATCAGTCTCCGTCGACCGTCCCACCGGCTGCCACACCACGTTGGACCCTCGATCCTACCCAAGTGATTTCCACGCGGACTCGCCTCCGTACGGCGGTTGTGGCAGGCAAGCCGCTCCCGCCGCTCCCGCCTGTTGACTATGGTTTCTCTGATGACCCGTCTTCCCTGCCTCCCACACGGATTTCCGCTTCGCCACGACCGTCTCGATGGTCTCCGACGGCGCCCCCGGCATGACGACACCAGTATCGCCCGGTTCGGTTTCGACTCCTGGTACTGGTGGTTTATCCCTGATCCCTCCGCGCCTCTGGCTCATAGAGTGGATTCTGTGTCTCCGACGCTTAGTGCAAATTCGGTTGCTCCTGCTCTGCAATTTTCTGCAGCCCCCGACTCTTCGGAGTCCCCGCCGACTTTTGTTTCGACCGCTCGCACGAATTCGCCTTCGGTCTCCGCCGCTGCGCTACCTTCTGGATGGTTTCAGTCGACGCTTCAAGAGTCGACATCCTCTTCTATCGAGGCGACTCTGCATCCTTCGGCTGATTCAGACTTCCGGGCGTCTGTCGAACGTTTCTCGCATGCTGATTGGGCTCGCGAGCAACGCAATGAACCTGTGTGTGATGGAGCAATTCGTTTCATCCTTCTGGGTCGGCCTTCGGCCCTCCCTTCGGATATAATGGATCATTCCGTCCGCTTGTCGACCCTCCCTGTCGGAGATTCGTGACCTTTCTACCAAAGGCCGGTAACACGTTGACGATGATGGTTTGCCACTCCTCCTCCGTGTGACACAACGAACACACATGGCATTTCCATCTCCGCCCGCCATGGCCGACCCGCCTTCTCCGTAACAAGGTTTCGCCTTTTCGATCTGCCGATCGGACTTGTCATAACGTACCCTCTTGGGCAGTTAGGCTGTGACCACAGAATGCGTCCGCACCAGCTGGACCATTACAGACATTCGATGTCGAAAGACCCCGAACAGACATCGAATCGAATTATTCTGTACCAAGAACAACAGCTCGGGACGGTGATATCTTGCGTCGAATTCGCTGTTGCAAGAGCGATACAATGCCAACCCGCTCGCAAGAAACACCTAACATGGGCATAGTTCCCCATTTCTTGTTTGGACAGAGAACATTCCATGTGATTCTTGTTTTCTCCATTTCCTATTTTAGTTAGTGTCTGCCGACTCCTTCAAACACGAACCTTGCAGTTGCCCACTTTTGCATGTGCATGTCTACCAGTCGGTACCGTTGTTGGAGGATAACAAGAAAGGATCTGCAAGCTTGTCATCGTCCGGGAGGGCGAACAAAAGGACATCTGATCCCCTTCGAAATGGAACATTCACGGGTTAAGCTGGTCGTTGCTGCGAACGTTGGGGATTTGCACCCGGTTACCCTGCCGCCGTGCCGCCGACTTGTCGCAGCCGTCGATCGGCTCTATCAAAGCCCCATGCTCCACGGCTGAGTTCGCCTTGTCTACACTGTCGCTGTAAACATGTGTACTTCAAGCTGATCCTGCTTTGATGATCAGCCAACACCACGCGGAAGTCGAACACAAGTGGCTGGCTTGGGTGGTAGCCACCGATTGATCTGCCCGGAACCATCAATTCGCCACGCCTCAAGAAGAGCGCACAGAACGCCGACTTTACACGGTCTACAATGGCTTCGCTGTAGGAGACTCCTGAAGACGAAATCCGTCCGGAAGCTACATTGCTATGATGTCCTCATCCGTTCAAGGTCACTATCAGTGCTGTCCAGCTGTGTTAAGGGGTCAGAGGTCGCCGTTTCTTCTTTCCACGTCCAACCCCAGACCCTTACATTTCTAGTCGTAGGGAGGTTGGTCGTGGTTTGCGTCGTCTCTTGTTTCTTCGTTTCCTATTCGATTTTCTTACGTTTTTAAATCTGCGACTCAAACTCTTACGAGGTACTCTCTTTGTTGTGGGCGGGCCGACACTACCGTATCTTGCGAGGTTCTTTCTTATGAGCGGAGAGTGGGTGAAACATTCAATACAGCCTTGCGCCCGGAGTGCACCCAGCCTGATCCAAAGTATCTGTGAATCAATACACAGCGATGATAGTGGACAGTTCCAAACTGCTGTAGTCTCCGCAAAACATGTTGGTTGGATATATGAACGCGAAAGGTGAGTAACCGCCCATAGTCACCCCCTCCACATACCTCGACCGCAGCCCCGACACCCTCGTCGAGAGTAGACATGGCGCTCTCCGACAACGCACGCCTGAGGGAAATCTTGGCGTCCTCCGCTGAACGGATATCACCCGACGTGGCATGTCCAACAACGGCAGCCCGGCGACTCCTCCCTGTAGAGCATCGCGGGGCGACTGACAAGTAACCGGTAATCCCAGGTGGGAGGAGCAGAGCAGCAGCCTCCACAACGACGTGGATGCAACTCGTAGCACCCATGACAGACGTGGAGCGCAACTGACGATTGGTTGTCTTTCTTGTCTTCCCCTGTCTCTGTCTCGCCGAGCTGTTGCAAATGGGCACACGAGATAGCGCACTCGAACACACGATACACAGCGCAGCAAGCAATTAGGACCCTGCTTGCTACAACCTCCGCTTCTTTTTCATGACGATGGGACCGGCTGCGGTTGTCTATGATTGTGTTGGTTTGTCTGTGCCAGCTATTGTCCGCAAATAACCAATTATTAATAATTGCAAATTGCCTGGCTCGTTGTTGACTACGCATGCATGCACCTGGGTACCAGAGGTTTGTGTTTTGCTGATGCGTGTGCTTCGTTGTCGGCCCATCCGCCCGTCCGCAGATATCTTGTTACGCGTTCTTTTCCTTATTCATAATAATAGGACGTTGCGGACGATACACCACCGACTGCTCCTGCAAGTTATCGGTTACCATCGCAAGAAGGGCACGTACCGGCGGCTTTCCTACGCCCAGACCCTGAAGAGGGTAGGGTGCCAGAACGTGGAAACCACTATCCGGCAACGGCGCCTGCTGTTCGCGGGAGCGGTGGTAAGGCAGCCAGACGGACGGCTCCCGAAACGGGTGATGCTTGGCGAAACTGGTGGGGGGGGAGGGTCCAGGCAGGGGGAAACCGGAGCAAAACTGGCAGATGTGCCTGAAGGACGACCTGAAGATGTTCGAAGCAGAGCACGGACCCGCGGACGCCGAGCCATGCTTCTTCGGGGGCCCGGAAACAACTTGGATGGTAGTAGCGAAGGTGAACCGAGGGGTGCCGTGGCATACAGGGGTACTGCAGGGAGCTAAGAGGTTCGTTCATGGCCTCCTGGCACAAGAAGGAAGAGGGGCTAGCCGACAACGAGCGCTCAAACGAAACAAGAAGCCCGACAACAGCACGGACACGGCAACAACCACGGGGGTGGGAGGGGTACAGCAGGCGGACGAGACGGCGAGGAAAGGCAGGAAACGCGAAGAGGCGGACCGAGTGGCGCGAAACACCGTGCCGAAATGAACCTCTTGCTTGACTTCCCCCCCCCCGGCACTGCACCATTGCACCAACCCCCCGCGAGCGATGACGTGAATGGGCTGGCTCGAGTCGCCCGCTTTGTCTTGTGTCGTTTTGTTGTTTTGTGTTGTTCTGTTTGTTTGTTTGTTGTTTGTTGTTTGTCGCTAAGGCGTGTGTCTTTCTCTGCCTGTGTCTTTCTCTTTCCCTTTCTTTGCTTCTCTCCATCTGCTCTCTTCCTTTCGTTTTCTTTTTCTTTTTTTACCTTTTCCAATCTAGGGTTACCTCGCATAGCGTGCAGAGAGGCGAGCGGAGTGGCCTAGACTATCTGTCGTTGACTTTTATTGGCTTGCGGACCCTTAGGGTCCATTTTATTTTCGTATACCTTTTTTGGGGTAAGTTAGCCTGTGACCACGGGAATCGACCGTGTCAAGTGTTAGACTACGGACAGAAGAAGGTACTGAGCAGAGAGAACGGAACGGTTTTTAATGTGAAGACAACAACAATAGTCTGCATCTTCAACAACTCCAAGGGAGACGAGACTTCACCGAGCCCTTTCCGGTACTACCGCTCGTCTCGGATGGATGGGTATGGGGCCCCCTTGCCCGCATTTCTCTATCATTCGAAGAAAGTATGCATACAATCAAAAAAGACAGCCCTATCATGTTGTGCATGATGCGAACAGAGGCGTTCTTGGCCTTCTTCGTCTCCGAAGCTCTCCCTCTGACGACACAAGGACGCGAACCACGCCCTTTCGAGATGCCTCGAAGGATTTGGCCCAGCGGTATTTATTTTGTGTAACGTTTTTTTTTGTGCTGGCTTGCGAACCTCCGAACTTCACGAAACCACAATAATAATTGTAGAAAGCCAAGGTAACCTCGACAACACGCACACCAACCGCCACTCTCACAATGCCTTACACGAGTCATTCGCAGTTTTCACCGCAGCACGCACACACACCGAAGAGCCCACACAACACAACAATAGATCCACACATCCACACCGCATACAAACATGCACACCTGTAAACCTTGAAGCCTCCAAAAGGGGGGACAGTTGATAGGATGAAAGACCCCCCCAACAATCGGGGTTCCGTGGTGCACCGCCGCCCCCGCACTGCGCATCCCGACTCTGAGTGGGCGTGACCCTCTTCACACCACCACCGCTGCTGATCGCAGAAGGGCGGCGATTGCCCACTTTGTTCCCTTGGCGTTCTGCTGTTGGATATTCACGTACACGCATACCTGGCTCCTTTCAGCGTAATGGATTTCGACCGGAATGCCATCGGATCTCTGGAGGACGTCCATCGGGAATGGGACAGCCTCGAGACCGAGCGTGTCAGGGTGGAAGACAAGCTGCGGAGTTTCGACGCACCGGCTGGGGGCAGGGGCGGTGGCTTTGGCGGGCGGGGGGTAAGGGTCATGGGCGGTGGCAGGGGCAGGGACAGGAGTGACGGGGGAGACTGGCGCAGGGATAGGTGAGAGCACGACAGCAGCAGCACGGGTACTACTGCTGTACGTTACTGGACGGCCGGTGTTGGTACCGGACGATGAATCAGATCTTACCCACCCAGGATGCAACACCCACACGTGCCTACTACGAGCATGTGGCATGTTGTAAGGCGGCACGTCGAAGCATCTTCGCTGCCCTGGCCATGAAAACTGATGAGAGGGCGGACGAAACCATACGTGCGCTTGGCGTCGATATTCGCTTATGATGCAAGATAACACCACCCCCTTGCACAACGATCATGTCGATTGCCAGCGGACATCCCTTGCATCCCAAGCAAAAGCTTCGCTTGCATTCTGACTCTGTATTCCAAAACCTTATGTATGCCTGGGGCTGCCCACTGCCCAGATAGTCCGGGCGGTAAGCAGACAGCAGTTTCACGCACTGCTGGTGCGTTGTCTCTGAAATCCGGTGTCACCCCGAATTGTTTGGACATCTGCATATACAGCAGTAGTCGTGCAAGTGCCGGCTAGGATATAGGAGACGATGTGACAAGCCGAAATCTGTACAGGCCCGGAGATAAGAAACGTTCAATCGGGTCGAGGCTCAGTTTCGTCTTCACTGCTGTCGAGGACAGGTTTTTAAAGAGAGTTCAGTATGGGATTCCGCTGATGTGTTTCTTAACGTCACTTTCTCGTTAACATGCGAGCATCTGTTTCTGAACAATATGTTTCTTGACTGCGGGACCGTACTGCTGTATCTGTGTACGGACACGGGTCATGATCTCTCTTAGATGTACACGCACCACCGCCTCCTTAGCGGCCACGTTCCACCTGTGCGTTTGTAGTCGAACCGGGTCACGTTGAGTCGGGACAGGCAGGGATCAATGTGTGCCGTGCACGCCCATCCCAGAGGACCGTTTGGTGCGAGGCTGGCGGCCGTGGAACGGCTTTCGCACGGAACGTGGCTCGTGCTGGTGTTGCTACCGGGTTACCCTTACCCTTCATCTTGGGAACGTCGATGGTCGCTAAGGTGCCGAGAGGCTGGCGGGAAAGTTCGAGGGAAAATTCTGACGGTGGAAAACAAACGCCGCGGCCATGACCCGTTTCACGTTCCCCCGCATCCCGCCAGGAGGTCGTATTTGCTCCGCTCTCAGCGCCCTGCTTCCCACCCCCCCTACACGCGCACAGATGATCACCACCCTATACACCTGGTACATGTGGCTGTGGTCAAGTTTCCCCGGCACACACAAATGTTGAACAAACGCACACATGGCGATGACTCTTATGCTCTCACCCCTGTCTTTGCTCTTACACGGTAACGCAGGCCCCGCGACACCAGCAATGGCGGTCGCGAGGAGGCCCCACACAGACCTTCCCAAGCATCGCGAGACAAGTACCGCGCGATGTCGGGTACGTGGGAGCGAGGGCTAGACCCTGCAACGGCTGCCCTGGACGATGACGCCCCGCCGGAAGGCAGGGGGAGGGGCGGCGGCGGGACGGCGGGGCTTCGGGGAGGCACCAAGGGTTCCATCGCGCATTACCAACGCCCAGCAGACAGCCACGGTGACAGGAGGGGACGGGGTAGAGACCGCGGTGTGGCCCCGATGCACGGAGCTGGTGTGCGGGGGGACAGGGACGGTATGCGGGGCGATAGGACCGGCGACAGAGACGTCTTCTCGCGGGGAGGACGAAGCGGAACGCGGGGGGACAGGGCGCGGGGAGACTTCGACCGGTTCAGGAACGGTGGCTCGGGGGGACGAGGAGAAGGGTCGCGGGCACGCCGCGAGTCTAATGGCGTCGGGGGTGGCGGCGGTGAGCCGGAAGCGAAGCGACCTCGGGTGACGAGCACGATCGTCGTCGCGGGCGACGAGGACACGAACGGGGACGGGACGACGGAAAACGGCGAGCTGGACCGCTGGAACACCGAGCTTCCCCCCGCATCACCACCACCAGCGACAGAAGCTGCTGCAGCAACAGAAACAACAGCGACGACAACAACAACTCCAGACGACGACCTCGTGGACTACGAGCCGGAGGCAGAACCGGAGGAGGACACCGCTAGCGGGCCTCCACCCGCCGCTGCCGCCGCCGCCCCCCCCGGCGAGGCAACGGGCCAGGAAGACGATCAGCAGCCCACGGAAGAGGACGAGGGCGGCGGGCGTAGGCCCGTCGGCAAGATCGTGGTCGTTTCGGGCGGCGGCCCTAGAGGGCGCGCTGCCAACATCGGCGGCGTCGCTGGCAGCGGCGGCGGGCGCGGGAGCCTGGCTAGCAGGCTGGGCCCTCCCATGGGGAGGCCGGTGATGGTGAAAGGGGGTTTGGGGGACAACGGCGGGGAAGGGGGCTTTATGCCGCTGTCGGAGAGGCCCATGCCGGAGCCCTCGAAGCCAGAGCTTCACGTGGCGTACAAGGACGGGGACACCAAGAAGCGAAACAGGAGGTGCTCCATACGCCGTAGCAATTCGCCCGCCGTTTTGCTGTTTGTTGTTGCCGACGTTGCTGTTTCGTGTTTCTTTTTCTTTTTCAAGAGCAGCGATCCAAGTGTTGCCTCGTCCCTCGAACACCCCGCTTGGCCTAGTTGATACGTCTTCGAGGCTTCATATTTTTTCAGGTTTTCTCCCTCGCGCTATGGTCACGAGTTTCCCCTTACCGCTTCTTTTCTCCCTCCGCCATGTGTGTCGCCCCCCCCCCCCCCCCCCCCCCCCCCCCCCCCC